TTTTCAGATCCAATTAGCGCTGTGGGGGCTCGAACGTGCTTCGCCGGCTCACCGGCTCTGCTAATTAATGCGTTAATTAGCCGACGCTCTACCACTGGACCACAGGCGCTATAACATGTAATCAGTGCTCGTTTAACAGGTTATTGGAATCCCCTATTGACATGCATGCGTAATTCAGTAAACAATGAATTGCGCATGCCTTGTTGTCACGGCCCGCTCTCCCATTCATCTTTTCTTGAAACCACACTCGCAATTGTTTATGTCAACATGACCGACCAATGGGATTAACTGGATTAATGCTTGAAAAGGTAAGAATTTATGGCTAACCCTTGCCTAAAGCCAGCTAACCCTAATGACCGAAAAGGGGTTTTGGATCGTAAAGACGTGTAAGTTTCCCTAAGACCGAAAACGGGTGTTGGATCGTAAAGATGGGTAAGTTTCCCTAAGACCGAAAAACGGGTGTTGGAACGTAAAGACGTGTAAGTTTCCCTAAGACCTAGAACGGGTGTTTGATCGTAAAGATGTGTAAGTTTCCCTAAGACCGAGAACGGGTGTTTGATTGTGAAGATGTGTAAGTTTCCCTAAGACCGAAAACGGGTGTTGGATCGTGAAGCGAGAGTCACCAGAGCGTGAGGCACGGTAACGGTATAACGAGACAGCGGTGGCACTATAGTGCGGTAATTGAGCAGATGGTAGAGCTCGGGCTGCGCCCGGTAAACTGCATTGTTGCCTATCGTTGATAGCAATAGTTATTTGAATACTTTTTTCATCTGTTCTTAAATATTGACCATAAAAAAAATTGATATCGATCGTCACAGAAAGCAAAATGGCGGTCAATCAAGATTCAATATACGACTAGCTACTGAAAACAATAAAATCTGCAAATCCTCATTGTATGTCAACCAAGTGAAAGTCACGACTTACAAAATGATCAGTCAGACTTTGAGGGTTTGGCAGATCCGCTCGACTGATTTGCATTGGTCGACTGGCTGTCGTCACGCTTTCGCTTCTTGTCTGAGGTTACGTATCGTAGCATTGTGAGGATAATGAGGTAAATCGATGATGCAAGGTATTTACGTACAGTTGTAAACACATTTTACTCAAATTAACAAGATGTTCTCAGTAATTAATCTTCGATTAATCAGTGTCAGTTTATTGCCTATTACAGTGATTGACCGATTGGACTATCATGTTGGTACAATGTATTTACAGCAAGCAAAACAAACAAAGCTTGTCAGTGTAGATAATCTTCATTGTGTTAGAACTGCAGACAGAAACTGCTCAGTCCTAACTGTTGATCACGTCCGGTCAAAATTTAAGAATGTCCGGACAATACTTTTCAAAATGTCCGGACAGAAAAATTTAAATGTCCGGTAAGCAATATTTTAAACCGGACATTTGAGATTCCCAATCGGACATGTCCGGCGCATATGACGGTTTCCGGACCCCTGGTTATATACATATATAATTGAGAAAGAAATATGGGGAAGTGCACACATTCATCAGACATGAAATATACATCCCTCATAATTAAACGTAGGGTGTTTTATATCAGCCATGTTATATATACATCATCAAAACTAATTGTTTGATAGGTACTACTTAGAAGTTGACGGATGACAAAGTAGACACAATTTATGGATAACTTCTTTAATACTGTAAAGGCGACGTTTCCGTATAGACCCTTATGCCGTTGTCAAGTAAGTCTTGTCAAGCAAGTCCTTATGCAGTTGTCAGTCAAGCCTTGCTTGACAACGGTATGAGTATCTATACAGTATTAAAGAAGTTGTGTCTACTTCATCATTTAAAATGAAAGGCGCGGGGGAGTATGCATATCGGATATAAAATATACACCACCCAGAACGATAGATAATGATAGAGGGTTCGTATCGGATGTATTATATTATACATACTTAAGAATGCTGTAGATGCAGACTAATGCAAGCTTTGAAACATTCTAAGAAGTAACATATCCAAGCTGGATGTTGACGATTGTTTCAGAGTTGCAATCTACCCACATATACAAGTAACTGGTAACCTCAAATACCTCCCTAACTTAACCCCAGCGTTCCCGTTTACCGGTAATTACCAGTTTTTTACCGGTAAAATTTGGCTTGGACCGGTAATTCATGAGACTGCCAGTCCCTGTGGCCCGGCAAATAAAGTGCCTTATAAATGTTTGTTGTTCAACAAAACATCGGTGATATTCAAGTCGGCTTGTCTGTTACCATCAGGGGTTCCCCTTGTCTATTTCTAGGTTAAATATCAATTTGTAGTGACTTGTCTCGAAATATATAAAAAAAAGAAGAGAAAATTGTGACTGAAGTTTGTGTGGATGGCGTATAGATCTAACTGAGTTACTTCAGAGATGACATCTTTTCATTGTACATGATGTTGCAAGAATTAAAACAAAATAATTTTCATACGTTTTTTTATTGTTGAAAGTTGGGACTGGCAAAAATTAGGAGGGACTGGTAATTTTTAGAGTTGCCAGCACACAAGGACTGGCAGTTTCAAAAGCCAGCGGGAACACTGAACCCTATCACATATACATGATACGGGTAATACAAGCTCAGCAGTTTGGTGTGCAAATATAAAACAAACAGATAAAAGCGGTAAGAGGGATAGGACTGCTCATACATGCATGCACCAGTAAACCAGAAGTGAGTATAGTTACTTCAGTGTTTTAGGAACCAGACAGCTTCAATGTGAAATTGCAGTTTGTCTTGTTTGGAAGATCTCCAAATGACAGGAACGATATATTGAAGCAAGTCGAAATAACATATTTAGCCTAAAAAAATTAAGATGATCCATGGACAGTGCAGTCTGTATGTCTATGATGGACATGGCTTAAAATATACACACAGCTACGCTTGTTGTGGGAGGCGACAATCGATGGACCGGGTGGTCATGCTTGTATAGTGACTTCGTTGATTGTGTGTCATGTGATCCGATATAAATACATGTAATCGAGACTGGGCCAGACAAACGAGTATGAACAAGGTCCCATGCCGACATGTACGATGTCGCAATCAAGCAAAAAAGGAACCTATCTCCCCAAGTCTCTTTAGTCGCCCCTCATGACACGATTCTAAGCCGGATTCCCCATCCGATCAAGGAAATATTACCTGCATGCTCATCTTTGATGTTACTGGTACTTGCAGCAAAATGTTGGTCCACATAGGCAGGGAGCAAAGTAGTGGTTGATATTATAAGCAAACATCCAGCACGTCGGAGGACGTTGAACTCCTGATCCATGAAGTCACCCAGTAAGACAACTAAGCATGTTTGGCTCGGGGACCACTTCTACACGGAATCAACTGCCTCACTGGCCTATAGTGGATAGACGGCGGCAGAAGGAGTAAGTTTGTTTGTTTGTTGCTTAACGCCACACTCAGCAATATTCAAGCTATATGGCGGCGGTCTGTAAATAATCGAGTCTGGACCAGACAATCCAGTGATTGACATCATGAGCATCGATCCACGCAACTGATGACATGTATCAACCAAGTCAGCGATCCTGACCACCCGATCCCGGTAGTCGCCTTTTACGGGAAGCATGGGTGGGTGAAGATCTATTCTACTCCAGGTCTTCACGGGTCAGAAGGAGTAAGTGGGTGAATATGTATTTACACTGATTTTAGCAGCATTCCAGGAATATCATGGTGCGGAACACCAGAAATAGACTTTACACACTGAACACATGATGGGAATCGAGCCCAGGCCTTCGACGCGACGAGCGAACTCTTTGACCACTACGCTAACCCATCGCACCCCTGAAGGTGGAAGTTAAAATATACGGGAAAAGATAGTACCCATGCTGGGCGATTGGCATGAAGTTGATAAAAGAACTGTACACAGTACATATTCTGTTTTACAAAACTCATGTAAGAATCCATGTATTACCCTCACACCCTCAGTAAATACGAGAATTTCTGAATTCTGACACTCCTTGTGTGACACACAAACTGGTATAAAAATCGCTATAAAAGTACCAATCATGACCTGTCTCAGTATTTGCTAAGTCTGTAGTCCTAATCACTATCAAAAGCTAAAATTAATTATAAATATTCAACAGTTGACAGATTTTCAAGGTGTTATGCCGCTTCTGCACAGTTTGATTACGGTAAGACAAAGGTAAATATATAATCAAAAATTAATAAAAATCAATACCAATCTTGGACTATGACCCCTCAATATGTGCTCATAAGTTGTATTGTCAACAGCTAAAAGAATTCCATTCACTGAACATGTGAAAGGGCTATCCCATTTCTGGTCAAGGGGATGTGGGTGATAATGTAGTAAAAGATCTCTTAAAATTAGTAGTATTGACCAATTGCATTCAGATTCTGCTCACAAGTGCAAAATGTTATTTACTATCATCAGTCAAGAAGAAATCTTAAGGTTCAATTAACTGTAGATTTTATAGGCCTTATCCCATTTCTGGTCAAAGAACATGGGTGATATTAAAGTAAGAAAATCACTTAAAAATTAAAAAGAAATATACTGACCCATAGCATTCAGATTCTGCTCACAGGTTTGAAATGTTATTTACTATCATCAGCCAAAATGAACTCTTAAGATTCCATTAATTGTAGATTTTAAAGGCATTATCCCACTTATGTTCAAGGTGACATGAGTGATAATATAGTAAAAAGTCTCTACGATATATTTTTCATATCACCTTGACCAGAAATGGGATATCACCCATAAAATCTACACCTAATGAATTCTTAAGATCCGTAAAACAGGGGCCGTAACTCTGTCAAAATTAGTCGAAATGAAACAGGACTGCGATATGAGTATCATCAACATGTCGACATCTTGTGTGTAGAGTTTCAGGGATATTCTCTGGAAACTGTAGGAGGAGTTGATTTCACAAGCTTAGTACCCTCTGTGGGAGGGACAGACAGACAGACGGACGGACTGCACCATGACATAATCCCCCTTCGGCCATTCTGGCCTGGCAGGGGATATAAAGTAAAGGTATAATCACTTACCTTGACGATCTCACTTTAAAAGCTTCTGCCGCTTGGCCTTCAACTGCAAGGACAAGACGACCATTTTGATCAAGTTGTGAAGGGAGGATAACTCTTACTGTTGCTTTGTCTTGCAAATTTTAATGTCAATGATGACAGAGCATGAGATAACAAGTTCAATTCTCTATTAGTAATGGGTTTATGAAATATATGTTATTTGTCTTAAGTTGGTAATTTTGAAGCCTTTCTAATTATTTCAATCATATTAAATGATATTATTTAGATTCCATATGTATCAGAGACCATAAAATATTTAATGGTCTCTCCATATATATGAGGACATTTTGCTGGCAAAATGGTTATGAAAGCTGCAATGTATATATATCTATAAGCTACCAGGAATGGTTCAATGAGTTTCACAGTTAACTCTCTCACATTCCGCACCTGCTATCCCTTGAAGCAGTTACATGTAATGGGGCTGGGAAATCCCTTGAATAGTACAAATGTAATTGTACCCCTTTCAACTCTGTTGTGCATCATATTCTCTGTTTGGTGTTTAATGACACACTCAGTAATATTCAAAATAATAGTATAATTATATTACTGTACATACCCTCCTACATATGTAGTGTGAACATCATCACCTATTGTACAGTGTCATGAGTGTATACTCCTAGATATTTTCCTCCTGTGTTTCTGTGTATGAGAAGAATAATAAATAATCTTGGAAAATAACATAACACAAACATCCTAGGAACTTGTATCATTACAATTATATCCCCACCAATAAGTGGCATAACATCTTTAAAATATATAAATCAGAGAATAATTTTATGTTCATTTGGCTTTTGCTATGCCATAGGAAAACACTGTGTTCAGAAGTGGCCAAGATAGCTATTTAACAGAAACTTTACTCTATTATCAAACATGTCACCACCTCACGAAGGTTATGATATGATAGACAATCAAATAATACATTTGTGAGTGATATCATGGTTAGAAATTAAACATGGCAATGGGTAGTAATTACAGATAATAAGCAACACGACCATTTTTAAACGAATTGCATTTTTTCATTAGCGATCTGTAAAAAAAGAAGAAATTGTATTCCGCTTTAGTTCTGCATTTGTTCTGCATTACCACTTTTATGCGCTGCTATATTAAGCTACAAATGACAGATAACGAGTCAGTAGCACTGCCATTGGCGCACTTTGCAGAACAGAGTAAAAATAAAAAACAGTGGTCTGCAACCTGAGCTCTGGTGCTCGCTTATTACAAGGAGAGGGAACGACCGAGAGCTAGGCGAGGGTCCTGGGGCCGCTGCGGCGGCTCGGACAGTGGTCTGCGGACCGGGGCTGCGACCTGAGCTCTGGTGCTTGCTTATTACAAGGAGAGGGAATGACAGAGAGCTAGGTGCTGTCCTGGAGCCGCTATGAGGCTCGGACGGTGGTCTGCGGAGCGGGGCTGCGACCTGAGCTCTGGTGCTTGCTTAGTACAAGGAGAGGGAATGACCGAGAGCTAGGCGAGGGTCCTGGGGCCGCTGCGGCGGCTCGGACGGTGGTCTGCGGACCAGGGATGTGACCTGAGCTCTAGAGAAAAGGACACTCTAGATGAGTGGAAATAGCCCAAAGCAAGTGATTGGAAGTGTACCCCCTTACAAGAGTGAGCGCCCCCAAGTTGTGCTAGGTGTGGTAACGAAGGTGCATTGTGTGCAACAATATAGAGAGGGATCACAAGATACATCAACATCGTACAAAGGAATAGACCAACACAACCAATTCAACGCAGCTGATCAGAGATGTCCTCGTAACTGGGTATTTATGGACAAGTAATTAAAGACAACTGAGCATTCTTAATAACGTCCTCTGCGGTCCGAATATAACGTGTAAAACAGTCTGACTGCCACCTCCCCAGGGTTTTTATGAGGTGATCTTCCATACGAAAAGTTGCAGCGGAGGTCGCTGCCCCTATGCGAAAAGAGTGTCCAGAGTATTTAGCTGCGTCAAGGTGTGCATGTTTCATGGTCATATTGAGCCATTGCAGGAACATGGTATGAGAAATGGCTTTTCCAACACAGTCAACAAACAGAGGATCACTGTCCCTGGCACCATGTGATAGTCTTACTTGTTTTAAGCGGTTCAAATTGGCAAAAGGGCAGATGGGAGAGTGGTTGGCAAACAAGGGACCACGCCCTGTCTAAAAATATCTGTCTTTGAAGCTTTGAGCACGAGAGTACACTTTTCCTGTATTATGGTCTATGGTGACATCAGATAGGCTTAAATTGGTACTAGCATCGAAGTCACAAGAACATGTGAACTCTGCACATCGTAGAAAACCAAAGAAGGCAGTGGTGCACATGACCTCCATTACCAGATCATTGAGAGGTCCGAGCACCCCATTTCGTAATGTACACACAATCTTCTTCAAGACATCGTAGATTATGGGTAAGCATTTAGGCACACCCTGTTGTTGTAGCTTCTTGTATCCATGAAGTAGAGTTCGTAGCTGATATAGACCACCAGTAGACACTGAATCGAACACTGTATGTACACCTGCCTTCAGATAGGTAAACTGAATACCCGTGAGATAGGATTTGACAGTGACATACTGTAGTTTTGCCTCACCGAAACAAAAGGCCACATATTGTTACATAAGTGCAGAATTAACTGGTGGCAGACACGGAGTAGCGAGTGTTGTTGTCCTTGGAGAGGAATGGAGAGACACGGGGCTTATGGGTAAATAGGCTCCCGTGTGCATGCGCAGAGGGGGAATTTGAAACCTTACGAAGGATAGTTGTAGCGTAACGTACACAAGAATAAATTTTATAATACACTGGACATGCATGTAGTAAGTAGAAAACGAAATACGTTGAATTTGCACAAACCTTAATATTAAATTATCATATATAGAAATGTACTTTTCATCGTAACATTTTCAGTCTCTTGGTGATGATATTAAACAGAAAAATGTTTGGAATTCATTGTCATAATTATACAGATGGACATATTTTTCAGTGAATTTGTAAAATAACTGAATATTCCGGTGTTTAATGAATTTCCTAAGTGAAAATTTTGCACATTTTGACTGTAAAAATATAAACACGATAAAATAAGCAATGCCCAGGAGAAACATTTACTGTTTTACTAATTTGTGTTGCAAGTCAAAACAGTGTAAACAAAAATTGCACAATTACCAAGCAAGTGACATATCAAAACTTCGTCACCACTACCGATGCTACCCACAAAGATACCTACATTTCCTTATTATTTCCAAAACTGTATTTCATTTTGTTCATCAATGTGACCATACGCCCTTATACTTTCAATAAAAGTGACAAATGCACGTACGAATTGCGCAGCACAGGTCACGAACTAGTCTACGTTTTTGCTATATCATTCAGGTACTCACAGGAAAAAACAATAACAAAGGCAACAACCAGTCCCAGAGAATTGCTTCAGATCAGTGCCCCTTATAAGATTTTTTATATTCTTAAACAAACAAATAGAAAAAACTAAGCACCATAAATCACAGGTCTCTTAACAGCGTCAGTCATGTTAGCATGTCACACAGGGAAGTGATCTGGGATTTCCTTGGGATAATGGGGGCTGACAAATCGATAACAATGTCAGCTGATAGGGTTGAAAAAGGAAGGAAAAAATACTGGTGTTATCTATTAAGTGCCATGTCACAGTGACATGTCCATGAGTTATCTATTAAGTGCCATGTCACAGTGACATGTCCATGTGAGGTGAACCTGGTCCAGGTGTCAGTAGTGAAACCCACGGGTGAAAGTAAATCTGATAAGAGTTTCAACATCAAACATAAGCATGTATTAGCATTCATTATGTATAGTCGTATGGCTATGAATAGCATATAGGCCAACATCTAAAAAATTATTTATTATATAGAATTTACTTCATACAAATTCAAATTCACATTCCCTATACATGTACTTTCAAACATTTCCGACATAGAACGTCAGTGTATGGTAATATACTTAATGTAGTTGGTATAATAAGGTCGTAACTTACTGCTATTTAGTTGAATAATGAAACATATGTCTTTACTATCACAATTCCTACGTAGTTTGTAATGTGTAACCTTCTTTGTGAAGTTGAAGAGAGTCAGCTGTTTTTTCTTTTGTTGATGGTTTCTTATCGTTGAAATGGTGCTGTATGCCAAAAGTACAGTTCATAATTTGACCCCACAAACTTTATATCATAACCATACGTTGGATTTATTTTGATCTGATATATACTCTTCAAAAAAAGAAACTTGACATAGATGTAAAACCAATCTAAAATAATTACATTAAATGAGAACCAAAAAAGTCAAACAGAAAGATGATGTGTCTATAATTTGCGAAAACACATGCAAAGCACATAAACGTAGCGTTTGGTGATCAATTTTACAGCTTAATCCAAACGCAACCGCCTGTAAAAAACGTGCAGCACAGGATCCTGCATTTAGGCATGCAGGCCCCCCTGTTGAATGGGTATAAATATCCACATCAACGGCTGTTCATACAGTCCTTATAACGGCAGTAGAGGCGGTGACAGAATGCCAAGACTGAATGCAGCTCAACGGAACAATGCCATTCGGAGATTACAAGCTGGAGCAACTCAGCAAGAAGTGGCCAGGCACTTTGGCGTATCCAAACAGACAATCTCCGCACTGTAGACCCGATACAACAACACCAACAGAGTTGACCACAGACCAAGGTTAGGAAGACCAAGGTTGACAACCTAAGCACAAGATCGATACATCCGGCTGTGACACCTCCGATATCGTACTACCACAGCCCCGTCTACAACCACACAGATCCCTGGGGTACGCAGAACATCAGATCAAACGGTACGCAACAGACTGAGGGAGGCAGGACTTTTTGCATGAAGACCTGTTCGACGTCATGTATTGACACCATGTCATCTGGCGGACCGTCTGCTTTGGTGCCAACAGAGGGTTAGATGGGCACGTGCAAGGTGGAGAAATGTACTGTTTACTGACGAGTCCCGTTTCCTACTCACACGTGCTGATGGGCGCTCACGTGTCTACAGACGTCGG